CCAAAAAGACTTTAATTAGAATGAAAGGGGATTCCGTACTCCAAATGAAGAAAGTTTCAAAAGGAGGTTGTGCGAAACAGTATCGAAGGCCTTAGTACAATCAAATTACAGAGTTATCACTGATTGACCAGCATTTCTGCTCTGAGTAATTATATTTAAAAATTCCAATTGTGATGTGGAGTATGAGCGTCTAGCCCTAAACCTATGGTGAGATGGGCTAATTAGGCTTGCAGAAAGTAAAAATGACAGTTGCTGTTTGTGGATGAATTTTTTCATGATTCTTAATAGCGCGGATGTTAATTTGATGTAATCGCTGAAACTCTATCCATACTGTTTGTTTTGTCTTTGCCGCAGTCCAGACTGCCAAATGACTGGAAAGACACAATAATGTGTCCGGTATATAAGGCGGTAACTGAGACTTAGTAACTATCAACCCGGTAGTCTAACCACTACAGTCATCAAACTAATGGAAAAGATTATTCGGATGGTTTTTATAAACTATGTGGAAGGGCATAATTTTTTATCCGGGGAACAAAAAGGTTTTCCGAAAGTCCTATCACATTTGACAGATCTCATTGCAAGAGGAGATTGGGATGTAGAAAAAATTGAAATATTCTTTTAGGTTTAATCACCATAGATCTAAGTAAAGTCTTTGACTGGGTCTTCCATTTGGATCTTAAATTTGAGCTAGGAAGTTTCGGAATCCTTTGTAAGGTCATAAACTAGATAAATGACTTTCTCAGTGATAGGAGACAGAGGGTAAGGGTAGATGGAGCTAACTGAGCACGGGGACCTGTAAAAGGTGGAATTCTCTGAGGTACAATCTTTTTTTTATACTTTATGTAAATGTATTGCCGACTGTAGCAAGTCATCCGTTCTATTCTTCGCTGACGACACAAAGATTTGGAGACCTATACGTAATATGTCAGATAGAAAAGTATTACAGTATGATCTTAATTCTTTGTTAGCATAAACGGGCCGATGGCCATTAGAACTGAATTCTTACAAAAGTGTGGTGATTCAACTAAATAACTATGATGATTCGTATCACTGCACAGTACGTGGAGTTGTGTTAAATAAAGTAATGGACATTTAAGATCTAGGAGTTATAATAAGCAGCTGCCTGAAAACTACGAGCAACTGTTAGACTGCTGCTGCCAAAGTGCTTAGTGTATTACGGAAAATATTCGTAGGTCTTTTCAGTTTGGGCAAAGGGTTAGCGACCCCATCCCGTAGAAAACAAAATCGCTAAAAAAACGCTAACCAGAAAAAATTATTCAAACCATCTAAACTCTGCCCTGGGAGTAGAAGGAATAATTATGACGTCTCTTGATGAAAGCTGAGTCCCCTCGAAAGTTATGAGGCCGATGCACCTTCTTACAACCAGAGCGACAATTTTTATAGGTACATGGAATGTCCAGACAATGTAGGAAACCGGAAGAGTCTTCCTAATTACTGCAGAAATGAGGAAATACAACTTGGAGGTGCTTGAAATCAGTGAAACACATTGAACGCAGTTTGGACAACAACGACTATCTTCAGGGGAACTTCTGTTATACTCCAGTCATGAAGAAGAAAATGTCCCACATACACAAGGAGTGACATTGATGCTGTCCAGAAAAGCACAAAATACACTTATTGAATGGGAATCTCATGGACCAAGGATCATTAAAGCCTCCTTCAAAACAAAGGAAGAGGGCATTACAACGATTGTCATCCAGTGCTATGCGCCTACCAACGACTACAATGAAGACTCTAAAGACCAATTCTACGATATTCTGTAGTCGTCGACAAGTGCCCAACAAAGGATCTGCCATTCTGATGGGAGATTTCAATGCCAATGTTGGAATGGACAACACTGGATACGAAGACGATATGGACTGTGAGAAAGGAACGAAAATGGTGAGAGATTTGCAAACCTATGTGCCTTCAATAATCTGGCCATAGGTGGCACCATATTCCCACACAAAGGCATACACAAAGCCACTTGGATTTCACCGGATCACACTACACAGAATCAAATCGACCATATCTGCATCAACAAAAAGTTTAGGAGGACAATGGAGGATGTGAGAACCAGAAGAGGAGCTGATATAGCATCCGATTATCATTTGCTGGTCGCCAAGATGAAACTAAAACTCAATAAGCACTGGACAACGGCGCGGACAACATCATAAAAGTTTAGCACTGCCTTTCTTAGAGATGCTGACAAATTCAACATAGCCCTCAGCAACAGGTTCGAGGCCTTTTATGATCTACTCCATGGGGAGGGAACTACCATGGAGAGCAACTGGAAAGGTATCAGGGAGGCAATCATTTCAACATTTCGGGAGGTTCTGGGCCACAAGAAGCACCACCACAATAAATGGCGTTATAACGTATGCCCTCGTAATATATATGAACTTGCAATTAGAGAGAAGTAGATTTATTGATCGGAGCAATGATACATAAAATCGTACGAGCAGTCTTGAGTACCATTCGGTCCTGCTATTTGCCTCGCCCAGCCAGTTAAGTCCAGAACACAAATAACAGCCTCGGCAATATGAATCATTATTCACAAGCATACTGGGTTTATATACTAACCAAACAGACCACATTATACCAAAAAATAGAAAAATAACATTTGTACAATAATTGGCCAATGTGGATGTGGATAGGGGGAAAGTAATCAATAATAGTAGTTCAAAGGTCAAAATAAAGGTTATGACAAGAGGAACACGAATACGATTAGGTCAGTTATTTAGCAACTACGCAATAGGAATTAGGTATATTACATTTGTCCATAAATAGACCTCAGATTTATCATTCATAATTCACCAGGGGATATAACAAATGGATCACTGTTGGTACACTGGATAAGATTGAAGAAAGGAGGAACAAGAAGGCAGCAATCAATATCAGCCGATCAAGAGCAGAAAAAGCCAAGGCACAAGCCGAATACACAGAAGTAAACAATCAATGAAAGAGAAGCATCAGAACCGAAAAACGTAAATATGTGGAAGATTTAGCAATGACAGCGTAAAAGGCTGCAAGAGAAGGAAACATGAGACAATTGTATGATACAACAAAGAAACTTGCTGGAAATTACCGTAAACCAGAAAGACCAGTGAAAAGTAAGGAAGGCAAGGTATTTTCCAACATTGAAGAACAACGAAACAGGTGGGTATAACACTCCAAAGAACTCTTGAATCGACCAGCTCCACCGAACCCACCTAACATCGAAGTAGCACCCACGGACCTCCTAATCGATGGTAGCCCACCAACAATTGAAGAGATCAGCATTGCCATCAGACAAATCAAGAGCGGCAAAGCAGCGGGACCAGACAACATCCCGGCAGAGGCACTGAAAGCAGATGTAGCAGCAACTGCCGAGATACTCCACATCCTCTTCAGTAAGATTTGGGATGAAGAACATGTACCAACATACTGGAAATAAGAACTTCTTATTAAGATATCAAAGAAAGGCGACCTCAGAAAGTGCGATAACCACAGGGGCATCACTCTTCTTTCGATACTAGGAAAAGTCTTCAACAGGTTATTGTTAAACAGAATGAAGGATTCCGTAGACGCCCAACTTCGAGATCAACAGGCTGGATTCCTTAAGGATCGATCGTGTACAGACCAAATCGCAATACTACAGATCATTGTGGAACAATCAATTGAATGGAATTCATCACTGTACATCAACTTCATTGGCTACGAGAAAGCATTTGATAGCGTGAAAAGGACAACACTAGGGAGGCTTCTTCGACACTACGGCGTTCCTGAGAAGATAGTCGATATAATACGGAATTCCTATAATGAATTAAACTGCGAAATCGTGCATAGAGGACAACTCACTGACTCATTTGAGGTAAAGACCGGTGTTATGCAAGGTTGCTTACTCTCGACTTTTCTCTTTCTCCTGGTGATCGACTGGATCATGAAGACGCCAATATCTGAAGGAAAGCACGGGATACAGTGCACAGCTGGGATGCAGCTGGACGATCTAGACTTCGCGGATGATCTGGCTCTTTTAACACACACGCAACAACAAATGCAGGAGAAAACGACCAGTGTAGCAGCAGCCCCAGAAGCGGTAGGTCAGATAATATCAGAAACAACCTACTGTGAGAGATAACAAACCAGATTCCAGCCGAGGAAGAAATCAGGAAGAAGCGCTGAAAGTGGATAGGGCACACTTTGAGGAAATCACCCAACTGCGTCACAAGACAAGCCCTCACATGAAGTCCTGAAGACCAAAGAACACATTACGCCGAGAAATAGAAACAGACATGAGAAGAATGAACAAAGCCTGGATAGAACTAGAAAAGAAGGCCAAGGACAGAGTGGGTTGTAGAATGCTGGTCGGCGGCCTATGCTACATTGGGAGTTACAGGCGTAAGTAAAAAGTAAAGTCTTTTCAGTATTTTGACGAAGAAATGTTTAGAGTGTTATACCAGGCTTTCGTGAGACCTCATTCGGAATATGGGATACAAACAGCGAGTCCTTATCTCGGGTATAAAGAAGAAATTTCAACAGCGAGAGGCAGAGATGGTGAAAGGTCTCTATGGTCTATCTTATGAAAGCAGATTGAGACAACCCAACCTATTTCCGTCATCTTACCACAGATTACCGGGTGATCTAATATTGACCTATCGTATACTGAACGAAGATCATAGTATTATTGTGTCTTATCTTCTCCTTCCATCTAGGACTGGTAATCTGAAAGGGCACTCTGAGAAATTTAAAAATCCGAGGTCAAATCGTTTAAGTCCGGGGTTTCGTTCCTTGCACCAAGTAGTGAATTGTTGGAATTTTCTTCCAGAACACGTAATACCAACACCTTCTGTCGATATATTCAAAATGACATTAGACCTCCATATTGTTACAAACTGCAAGGAATAATATAGGTCTACAGACCTATCCGTATTACTGAAGACTGGTATTGTACTTTGAATCATAACTATATTTGGTTTGTTTGTAACTGTCATTTGGAAGGTCTCCAAAACAGATATTCTATGAGCGGGACTGTCCGTTCGGGGATGTTGTTTGTCATCTATGTCTTGTTTTTATGTCGGACTGGAATAGTTTATTCCAACTTATGCCCAAGGCAGTGTTTGCCGGGATCCTGTTGCGAAGTTGAAGAAAATGATTTCAGATGCTGTCCTTATGCTAATGTATGTTTCAAATGACGTATAATATTCCCCTATGACCTCTCAGGGTGTATGTTGTAGTGATGGAAATAACTGCTGTCCTCAAGGAACACAGTGTGACTTGGAACTCGGTCGATGCCGTTCTTCTAATTGGGCTGTATTACCCTCCAAACATATGTCAGAGGTAAAATTCTTTTATTTACATTTTGTTTCTATATGTCGTGTAAGTGTTGCTGTGTAAGTAAATCTCTTTAATTTTCTGACCCGTTACTGCCATTTACATAAAGTTCGTTTCTGTCCAGGATTTTCGTCCGGAAGTTCGCTATTTAGAAAGTTAAAGCGAACTTTATACGAGTCTTCTGATGAAGACAAGGCGTCCAAATCGTTGTACTTTCAAAGTTTGACTGCTTTTCCTACAGGGTATTAGGTGGATCACATTTTAATAGGCCTTGTGAGATTTGTGCTAAGATTTTCTCCTTCATTCAATGATTTTGTTGTAGCACAAAATGAATTACGGCTCCCCTTACTTTCGCCAATTTTGGTGCGTAAAAATGAAATAATCAATCCCACCAAACATTAAATACAAGAGAAACAAATATATAAACGTCCTTATGATAATTAGGGTCCAGGGCTGCTAGTGAACTTTATCCAGATGTTTGGTAACTTTGGTCAATAACTTCGGAAGGTTATATTTTAGTTATGACTGACTGAGCCGCCTTTTGGTGGCATAGTGTTATCACAAGACTTTCAGGTTCCACTTCTTAAACATAAGCAGAATGCCTTTAAACCGCATCGTGTACAGTAAGGCTGTTGTAAGATTCGTTGTAGGACTCGTATCCTAGTGATATAAAATCAGACTCAAAACAAAGTCATAACTTTCCTCTCTATGCTTGAATTCGACTGGTAGTAATGTAAACCAACTAAAGTTCACTTAAAGAGGCCTCGGCATTATTCCATGCTAAAAGACTATGTGATATGTCACAGTAATTTTTTACTTGCCAAACGATCTAGTCTCTTTTGAATTGGTTTTGGCTTGGAATCAGTAAAATACAGCATCGTACAGTTGTAATTCCTAGGAATACCCAGTAAACAGAGTTGGCCAAAATCTCATTATGTAGTAATACTATGCGAGTATTCGGTAACCATAACCAATTTTGATGACTTGGAGTTTTGATTTTTATCATCTATTCCGGAAGAATTCTTGTGCAGATATTCCGATTACTGTGTAAATATCACTGAAAGTAATAAAATATATCGGTGGTACTTGTCAATATTTATTACCTATGGAGTCGATGAGTTCAAGGTTTGAAGTCTTATATATTTGTTGTGATACATTAGTACTGAAAAACTGGAGAAAAATACAAGTTTCCACTTGTTCTTACGATTTGTCCAGAAGAAGTGAGCGTAAATTCTTAGGTGATAATAAAGTTACTTTCTACTCATATGAACCAATTATTGGTCACTGGCTACCATACGACTGTATCTCCTGACGTTGCCTCAGACTTATAGGTTGAGGGCCGCCGATGTGCCCCCCAAAATACCACCTGCCTCGGTCTGGGCACTCGCTAAAACCGGACAACTATCCTTAAAGACTGGAGTTAGTCCATCTAGCACAGCTGCTCTCCCTCACTGCAGATTGGCTATAGCTTTTTGAAATTTAATTAAAGTCGGAAGGCCTATTTTAATGTTCCATTCAGGCAGTTTGGAAATGGTGGGTAGCTGCAGAGTAGCTGAAAGACTAGCTGAACTGTTTCCTAGTGTTCTTCTAATCGTTCTAAACGTCTGGACTAAGAGCAGATAAGAGTGTCGTCTTTTTTTGAGATTGTCTCACACTTAGTTTCGTAATTCCAGTTATTTTAATCATTCTAAAAAGCTGTCTTGTGTTACCTGCAGTTACTGCATTTCCCATTTCTTTTGCTTTCGTTGCCCACCACTGCTCACAGTTGTCCCTCAGACTTTTGCTTAACCTAGATCTGATTTGTGTTCGTTCTTCGTAACCCTTTGATTCAAATCACTAGTAGATGTCGCTGCTGTTTTCATAGCTGTCTGTCTATATTTTCAATCAACATCTGGGTCAACATCGTTTTTAAAATTGCTCAAGTGTGACTTCAGTTGTTCATGGAATTTACTTCTGGCTTTCTCATCGCTGAGTTCAAACCTAACGGGGCTTAACGTAGTTTTCCTACGTCTAGAGAGGCGCGAGCACATGCGTGCTCGTATTAGAGTGTGACCGAAGTCCAAACAGGTATTTCAGAACGAGCAACAGTTTTTTATTGAACCTCTCAATATCCTTTCGATTTCTTACGGAACCGTTTAGCTGAACAGCATATAGGTGACTGTTATCAGGGATCCATTTTAATAGGGCTTGTTTCGCCCTGATACTTATTATTATGCCTATACCCACCAGTTCACGAGAACTAGCCATCGGGTCGCCAGATAAACGGAGGGTGTATCTCATCGGCTCCCCGTTATGGCGAGGTGAGGTCAAGTAAATGCCACACTAGGATCCTGTATGTGTTTCGGAGACGCAGCATACGTTGATGGTACGAAATTTTAGGGACCTAGCCAAGGAAGCTTGCTGATCAATTTGACATAGGGTATGTACGTTGAAGGCTCCAATGTGTGGTTTGGTGCTGCGTTTCAGCACATCTGAGACAGTATTTCGCGCACTAGAATCGTTGGTATGAGAAATAACAGTAATTGAATAGGGAGATTCATTATGAATACAGTGTTCTTGAGTGCTGTTAGAGGTATGATGGCGGTTATTACTTCCTAGTTGCTCACACCGTGGAAGGGTTCTTCTAGAAGTACTTGAAAACGAAATCGAATTATAGTCACACCTCTATACAGTCAGCAGTATGACTTTGCCCTCCGGTCTTGGGTTTGCTGCTCGTAGTCTTACCACAATTGTTCCAACCAGTATGGCTCGATTGGTTCATTACGGTAAGCAAGCCCAACCACCACGTCAAAATGAAAGCAACGTTCGGGACCGCGCATCATGTGTAGAGAGTGGTTCTTCATATATGTCTGGTCTATATTTTAGTATCATGAATTCTAAACTCTTATTAAATATGATAGTTTGCATCTAGGTTACTTGACTGTTCGTTTATTTTAGATTTTCATTCATTTTCAGAAAGTAATTGGTGATTTGAAAACCAGTGCTTTGGATGTGGTGCTTAGGAGACTATCAGCAAACTATATTATGTGCCCCGACCGCCTGTCGGTATGCCAGGATAACACTACATGTTGCCCAATGTCAGGTGAGATATGGGGTTGTTGCCAACATGCCAGTGTAAGTTATTTTACGAAGATACCTCGTATTATTTTTGTTATTACACTATCGCTTTATCGGTTCACTTATAAATAGTATTCTAGAAGCCCCGATAAATTATTCTCTGGTACCCATATTTTTTTGAACAAACATTAAATCTGGTTTATATCAGAATACTAGTTGTTGTTCTTCCATCCTGTAAAATCTTGTGTGACATTTTCACAGCTACTTGAATTTTGGCGAGTCCCATCGACCTTTTCTTTGTTTTACAACTCCTTAAGCCTATCCATAATTATTACTGTTACGAGAAACAGAATATTGAGTTTGGATTGATCCGTGTTATAAGTCAGAAATAGTGAATTTCACGTCGATTTTTTCTTAAGTACTACAGAATATTGACAAACTTTTCCATTAATAATGCCTGACGCGACATGTAAACTGCACCCTAGATAGACAATTGAATTTGGATAAAAAACCCTAACTCGAAATTACCACTAGATTACTTAATTGACAAAGTCAGTCTGAAACAACAAGATCAATGCCGAAGAAGTGATGTTCAGACCCCAAGAAGATGGTGTTTCCCTCAATGCCTTCAGTTAAATCCAATCAGGATTTACCTTTCATGAGGGTAAGGTGATATAACGAGTCAGTCAGAAGTATCCAAATGAAAAAGTCACTTGAGGACAATCAGAGATGGCCTAAAGGACAACTGCATATAATTGGTTAAGAAATGGATTTATTTTCTAAGGGGTAGAAAGGTATATACCTATATAAATAAGTATTTATGCCCTTGGTAAATAAATTCCATTGTTTATGCCTTAAAATAAGTCACTCAAACTCTGATGAGTTTTTTGTTTTATTCATAGGCTATCTGCTGTCCAGATGGAGAACATTGTTGTCCTCATGGTTCAGTCTGCGATATGGTGAATCATTCATGTAAACCAGCTAAGTTCAATGAAATCCCAGAGATGAAAGAATCTTTCCCCACCTTACATCTTGTATCAGCATCAGCTCCTGCACGTCTGAACCCAAATGTTAAACCATCTAAAGCAAGCAGAAGAAAAAATATTCATCAACCGTCAGCCAAGTATTTACTAGCCTATTCTGGTGTTGTATGTCCAGATCCATTATATGAATGTCCAAATAATACAACTTGTTGCTCTAGTTCAGATGAAAAATGGGCATGTTGCCCTATTCCTCAAGTAAGTTTTCTGATATTATCCATGAATTAATAATTCTACATTGTTATTTATCTTAAAAAATTTTCTACATTTCACAGTAACATCCCTTTTTGATTAAGATCGCTCACCATCATATTGCTGATTAAGATGTAAAGGGTTTTTTTCAGGTTACTTAATATTTACTCAATTTTTACGTAGAATTAGAGATTCGGATTTGAGACCTATAGTATTTAAGATATACTTATAAGACTTGAGTGTTGAATAAATTAGCCTAATGACATAATTCCATACTTCATTAATAACATTTTAAATCAGTTCTATTGGGTTACATTGGATGATGGATGTTGGCTATCCAGTAGTGACCTACTAAAGATTTTTGTTTCATATATTAACAAACGATTATAATAGAATATTTAACACCAAAATACATTAGTTCAAGTGACTGCGTCGCCCCTGACCTTTGCTGCCACATTGACGTGGTTGTCGGGTTTGCCTATCGTGATGAACCAATCAAGGTACACTGGCTGGAACAGTTGTTCTTCAAGGTCCTATCATGCCAGACAGGTCGGTTGAAGATTGGTAAGATTGAGAGCAGCAAACCCAAGACCGGAGGGCAAAAAGTCATACTGCTGACTGTACGGAGTTGTGACGGCAGTAAACTGTTTCCCTCAGACAACCAGCATAATAGCGATGCTGCCTTCCCACAAGGAGGGTTGGGGTTAGGAAAGGTCGACCGTAAAAACACACACCTCACCTTATCCTACGGATTCCCGTTTCCTGCAGTAACGTCCCAACGAGTACGGAGCTAACAAGAAGATTACTCATAAGAACGTCGTGTGTGATCGACCTCAAGCAGTTGTCCCTTGTGCACTGTGGTCACACTCTCAGGTGACTGAGACCAACTTTAACCGAATTCCCTTTTCAATTACCTCTAGAAGAACCTTTTCACGGTGTGGTCAACCGGGAAGTGAAAACCGCCCTCACACCTCTAATAGCACTCAAGAATGCGTCGCCTCAACAAGAAACTCACAAAACCGAAAGTAAACAGTGTGAAAATAGCCATCCAATATACTTATTTATTTAAACACATATATATTGGTACAAAAGAGCACCAGATACATATGCGCCACACAAAATAATGAAAGTAGCAAGAGAAGGGATGAAAAGATAAGGCGGACTGAAATGTACAACCAGAAGACTCTTTCAGTTAAGAAAGTTAGAACCACTCTTTATGTAGAAAGTAAAAGAAGGTTGCAGCAGGATCGCCACTGGCTTCTATCCTGAGCCATATCTGATAACGTCTCTAGCCACTGTGTTGCACCATCTCTCGGACCCCAACCAGGGAGTCGTGAAGGACCAACAGAAGCTAGCCCTTTGCAGCTCTCTTTCATGCCACGACACCATGTCATACACTGACCTCCTCTCCGCTTTTTCCAACCAGTCCCAGAGTCGGCAAATAATGCACGACGTGGAAGTCTCTGGGACGACATTCGTAGAACATGTCCAAGCCACCGAAGTCGGTGTTTCAAGATGGCGACAACAATTGAATTATCGTCTCTGCGCCCGAACACACAATGCTGAACCTCTGCATTACTAACATGGTGTTGCCACTGTATGTCAGCAATCCTTCGGAGACAACGATGATCGAACACAGAGAGACGTCTAACATCCTCAACTCGGAGAGGCCAGGTTTCACAAGCATAGAGCAAAACTGCTCTCACCGATGCGTTGTAGTTCCGACCTTTTACAGCTAGACTAACATCACGAAGGCGCCAAAGATGGCCCAGATTGGCATAAGTCAGTCAGTCAGTCAGCTACAACGTAGGACCAGGCACATATATGCATCGGTCCAAGTTGCCATACCTCTTTAGCACAACAAGATGAACACCGGATTCATAGAAGCAATTAATTTAGTGATGGTAGTATATAAAGAAAGATTGTATAGAAGGATATAGTACAGGAAGGAAGAGAGATATGAAGCAATTTTAATCTCAAGGTTTAAGGGAAGATAAAGAGTGTATACACCTACGCCATTGTGATCGATTCTGAGCCATGTCACCTAGAGTCTCCAACCATTTATTACGATAGTCACGCGGACCCCAACCAGGTAGTCTGCATCTGCCAACATGGCTCAGGCTAGAAGTTAGTGACTTCAAACACTGATGCCATGTTTTGGTTTGGCCGCCCCTAACTCTCTTCCAACCGTCCCCAATACTAGTCATCATAGCGCGTCGTGGTATAAACCGCTCTGGCTTTCATTATACGTGCATCAACCTCATCACTCACGCCACCACCAGCACTTATGTAGCTACCTAGATGCACGAACTTCTCAACTACTTCAATCTGCTCACCATCCAGGGTGAGTACAGGATGAGAATCCTGCCAGTCTTGTAGGAGTACTTTGCACTTGGAGGGTGCAAAGCACATGGCGTACCTGCGGACACTGATTGCCAACTGATTAAGTGCGGATTGCATGCCTTGGGCATTATCGCACAGTAAGACAATATCATCCGCATACTCGAGGTCGAGAAGTCGTTCAGTTGCAGCAAACGGTCCCCGTTATCTGTCCTGCGGCCAACAAGTCCCCATCGGCCACCTAAACGACTCTCTTCTGTGCCTAGACGCCCGACCTGAGCATTCAAGTCTCCGGCTAATACTACAATATCTGTCGAACGCGCTTTCTGGAGAAGAACTGTTAACTGGTGGTAAAACTTATCTTTGATTGCATCCGAGCTGCAATCTGTCAGGGCATAGGCGGAGATGACGAAAAGACACCGTTTCTCACGCCGGTTTCTTCTCACTTTGATGGAACTTTCTAATCTAACAGCACATAACCGACTGTTAATGGGGATCCAATCGATTAGTGCTGCCTCAGCTCTAGCGCTTAGTGCAACACCAACCCCTGCAAGACCAGACGAAGATGCCACAGAGTCCCCGGATAAGCGCACGTGAAACAAGCTTTTCGAAGCGACAGATGGAGAACGAATTTGTAGAACTTCACTAAAGTCTTGAATACGGGTCTCGGATAGACAGCAAACATCAACATTAAGACTTTCTAAAGACATAGCCAGCCCCATCTGTTGTCCTGTCTGCATTAGTGTGCGAACGTTGAAGGAAGTCAGCTTGAACGGCGTACGTGGTTTCAGAAAGACTGCTTCAGTATTCGTAATCGGTGGAAGCGTTCACTTTCAACCAGACAGTGACTGGAGATCGTTTAGATAGGACAGATTTTCCACCATGGGCGAGCTACTGCATAAGTTGGAAAGGAAGGATACACAATTTGGGAATAAAGGGAGTGAAAAAGCGACGTAGTAAATAATAGTAATAATAATAATAATGGTAATAATAATAATAATAGTAATATTGTAAATTGTCTTGCTTCTAATATGAGTGAGAACAGTATCGTCAATAGAATTCATCATTTCATTTATTTGTGTGTGGGCTGTGATACTGCCCGGGTGCCCAAACCGAAGCAGGTGGTTTTCTTAGGGGGCCACGCCCCGAGCCTTTGACCGAAAGGTCTGGTCCACAAGGCAGTAGCGCATCGTGAGGAGATGCAGTCCCACGATAGGCGGTGACCAACAGCAGGTTCATTCGCCATTCGTTCTATCAAGATACTGGAGCCCATGTGCACTATTAGTTTGGAATCAGGGTTTTCCAACTCCCCTAGGTGGACCCTCCATGTCCACCAACCCGGTTGAAGTGCCGGACATTCGCTTTTCGTCCTCTCAATTTCGCAAACAACAGTCATGCCACGAGAAGGCAGTGAGTAGGACTTGTGTGGCAGAGGCTATATATTCGCGTGGCCATGTGAGAGCATTTCGAGAGGGAGAGTGGACTCTCCCCACTCTCAGCCGTACCAGGGCATTCGTGGGCTATCCAATATACACTTGTTTATGTCACATTGTGGGTATTTTAAACATAGCAATAAAGCTTCTACTATTAATAGTTTTGTTTAGATTTCTAAGCCTCATAATAAAAAAAATGTTGTGGATGATTTCATTAAACATATTGAACCAAATATGGTAGTTGACAACTTTCAATTGTCAGGGGGAGGGTGGTTAACACTGTGTTATACGAAATACGATTATGATATCACGATCGATTGATCACTGGATGGTGATCAATGTCATGCGTGTCAAGTCCGTTTTAGTGCTGATCGAATGCTATCGATCAAGTTGCAATGTGGCCTTTAGTCTAGGTGGCTCTACACTGCGTGCACTATGTTGAGATAATATGTTGGTTGGAGGTGGTCTGTGACTGTGAAGCTGGGTGACACGGGATCGAATCCGTCAGGGAGCACCAGTTCTCTCAAGATTACAGGTACACCTTGCGGACAAGTGCCAAGTAGCATGATTATGATATATTATCCAATTCACCTGTTATCGATTAGCTAGCATTTTGTTGCTCCTAACACTACTGTTTATCATGCTTTGTCATTGTCCGTTTAAATTGGAACGATAGATATTTTGCGTTTTCAATATCTTATTTAATCTTATTCATAGCCAACATAATTTGGTATGTTGTTGTGTAGACTACCACTTTTGCAGTACGAATGTAATTTAATGAATGACTTTAAAAACTGATCACAAGTTTTGATCGAATGTAAAATAGTTCCTAATCAAAACATAACGTAAATATTACGAACTACTTACCAAACAATTTTATTTCTATATTCCTTGTTCACCATTTCTTTCATCTATCCCTTATACTTACGTTTAGTTAGGTCATCGTTATATTCTTTTCTTCCTATGATGTAGACTGTCTCCTTTCTTGGTGTTTCCAACAAAGCTTTGCATAAGTCCCTTGAACAGTTGTACAATTATAAAAAATAGTTCATATTCTGTTGCAAATTTTAATTTGACTTAGGTGCACTTATCAACATTGAATGGCACACAATTGTGTCCAGATGCAAAATCTCGTTGTAGTGATGAACAAACATGTTGCAAATTAAAAACTGCAGAGTGGGGTTGTTGCCCTGTGAAAAATGTGAGTAACTTACTGAAATGTTTAGAATTAGT